ACAGTCCGGTTCCTATTCCACCGGCAAGTCAAGGCATGATACATCACAGCAACCAACTCACGCTTCCTCCCGTCTGGCCGGAGGACCCCTGAACAACATTCATTGCTCCACGTTGGGTGGAGGATTGACTGTCAGCTTGCCCAGAGACGCTCTTCCTTCTCAGATCTACTGTTGCAGTTCTGTCAGATTTATCTGTTATACCTAGAAAGAGCTCCTCCCGTGCTGTTGCCCACTCATGCTGTCCCTCATCCCCACCCCGCCCTTACTTGCTGTGATTTCCTTGGATCCAGCTACTCCCCCATCCTCTGAGTTCTGTTGAACCCTAAACCCTAAACCCTAAACCCTAAACCCTACCCTTGTTTGGATGCTTTAGATTATAACTTTTCCCCCTTGCTTCCGCCTTCCAGTGATGTGTCGACCTGATACTGCCGTCAGTTCTCTATGAGACCCTCCCCACTCTGCACCTTCTTTGATCCCGGCCCTCCTTCCCCTTTTTTCTTTTTCGATCTTCAATTGGCGGCACCTCTTGTTGGCTCAGACGGTTCTTACTGACGAACGCAGTTTCCTTTCCACAAGTGGCCCGTGTTGGATTGTGGCGAATGGCTGAGGTGACAAGGCAGGTAGACCCTGTGGACGCGGCCTCCTGCAATCTGCTCCGGTGAAACCCCTTCGACCCCAACCCTTCAGGTCATAGTTGCCTCCTCTGTTTGTGACTGTTGCCGTACAATCCTATCCGGAATTGAGTTGTGCCAGTCCTTCCAGCTCACCTGGTCTTCCCGGATCTCGGCCACCTTACCGCTAATCAGCCAGTTCCTGCTGAATTTCGCTCTCACTTTCTTTCGCTGCTCTTTATCTTCGGGCCATTTCAGTTTGATTTTCCTCCATCTGCACAATATCTCTGCTTGGATAATCGACTTGGACTCTTTCCATACCTTGTCCCTTGGATTTGATAGTCCTTCMATTGATCTGCTGCATCTCTCCTTCCAGATCACCCATAGGGTCACCTTCCTGATGAGTTCAAACCAATTTGATTCCGCCCTCCGAGTCATCGTGGGGATGTTAGTGAGGAGAAGTAGTTGGATGGGTTGTTTGGGGAAAGGGGAAGAGAAGAGGGAGTCCCACAGGGAAGAGGCTCTTGCCCAGTAATCTGTCGCCTCCACACAGTGCACCAAACAGTGGACTATGTCCTCTACCGCTCCTGCCGAGCAGACTGTACATATCTCTGAGCTATCCGGATTAGTAGCTTTACGCCTAGTGTGCAGCCGCTGGTTCACTGGTAAGGCAGCATACGCTATCAACCACTGCAGACTTCTGATCTTAACTGGTCTGATCTGTGCATATTTTTTCCATGGGATCTGTTGGATTTTGTCGGCTTCCTGTCCCACCAGCTTTCGCCATCTGTTTAAGATAGTGGGATCTGGGTCTTTGGTCTTCAGTAGTAGTCCATACCCAAATTTAACGGTATAGTCTTGAACCGGAGTTTTCATCTTGACACTCCGATTGCTGCCTGAGGTCCATGCCCACTCTTCCGGGTCAAATTGGATAGCCGTATCTGGTCTAAAAATGGACTTCGGCCATGTGCCTATGACCCTGACCTTCCTGAGGAGAAAAAAATCTAGTGTGGAGCATTCGACTTCCCGATTATGGATGGCTGGCATATTTGAGCCCGTGGTGGATATCGGGAAGGAATGGAAGACGGCGTTGGTAGGTGAATCACGCTGCATGTGGGAAAATTGGTAGGCTCTAGTAGGAGGGGTGTCTTGGATCAAGAGGCCCCAGTCCCCGGCTCTCCACGGCTCGTCCTTGGCAAGGATGTCCTTCCATTCTTGCGGGATACGACTAATTAGGTACTGCAAGTTGGTTTCTCTCCTGTGGCATCCTTTCAGTTGTGCATTAACCTCTTGCTCCGTAGCCCAGTCTTTTCTATCCTCTTCCCACAACTGGTCTATCTTCCAGATCCCATTCTTGACCCATGACAGCCATTTTTGTTCCATATTGGATTGTTGGCCTCGTTCGTTATCCATTCATTACCAAAAAGCGGTTGTCTGAGAATTTCGTCTTTCGACTTTGGTCTGTTGATCCTGGTGGGACAAATTCTCCTCCAGAGTCGAAGCAGCACCGGCCAGTACGGGGAGGATCGAACATCTTCTGGTCTGTTATTCCTAGTCTGATTCCTGCATCCCGTTGTTATCCTCCATTCCTTATTCATGACCCAGAACAAACCTGACATATCGGGTGGGGAGCGGGTAGGGGCCACCGCCCTGATGCTGTCTAATGCCAACTTGTTCCAAGCGGTGTCTGGATTTGTCAGCAGTTTAATGATCCATTTTATTTGCAAGGCTTTGGTCTCTGTCCCCGGGTCAATGAGGCCCAGGCCTCCGTTCCTAGGACTCCTTGTGACATAGTGCCAGGCTATCTTAGGGATGCATTTTTCTTTGTGGGGGTCGCCTGTCCACAGATAAAGCCTGGCTCTACGGTTCAACTCCTTCACCGAGCTGTCGGGAACTGTCCAGATAGAAGCTATGTACCATATCATTGAGAAAACAGATGTGTTAAGGACCAGCACTCGACCAAAGAGGGATGTAAACGTGTTTCCCCATCTCCCTATCTTGTTGATCTGTTTGGTCAACATTGAGGGTCCCATTTGAGCTGCCAACCCGTCTTTTGTCATCAAGATGCCTAAATAACGGGTAGGCGTGGCAGGCGTTTGCCATGTCATGGCCGCCTCTTCTCCCTGAAGAGAGAGGGGTTCGTCGTCGGAGAGCCACCATCCTATCGTTTTCACCCCAATTAATCCTCATTTGTGAAGCTAGTCTGAACGCCTCCATTGCTGTGGCTAGAGTTCTGAAGGAGGAGTCTGAAGCCCTGATCAGAACCGTCAGGTCATCGGCAAACATGATGGCTGTGGGAAAGTCCACCTGGTGGGCNGAATCACGCTGCATGTGGGAAAATTGGTAGGCTCTAGTAGGAGGGGTGTCTTGGATCAAGAGGCCCCAGTCCCCGGCTCTCCACGGCTCGTCCTTGGCAAGGATGTCCTTCCATTCTTGCGGGATACGACTAATTAGGTACTGCAAGTTGGTTTCTCTCCTGTGGCATCCTTTCAGTTGTGCATTAACCTCTTGCTCCGTAGCCCAGTCTTTTCTATCCTCTTCCCACAACTGGTCTATCTTCCAGATCCCATTCTTGACCCATGACAGCCATTTTTGTTCCATATTGGATTGTTGGCCTCGTTCGTTATCCATTCATTACCAAAAAGCGGTTGTCTGAGAATTTCGTCTTTCGACTTTGGTCTGTTGATCCTGGTGGGACAAATTCTCCTCCAGAGTCGAAGCAGCACCGGCCAGTACGGGGAGGATCGAACATCTTCTGGTCTGTTATTCCTAGTCTGATTCCTGCATCCCGTTGTTATCCTCCATTCCTTATTCATGACCCAGAACAAACCTGACATATCGGGTGGGGAGCGGGTAGGGGCCACCGCCCTGATGCTGTCTAATGCCAACTTGTTCCAAGCGGTGTCTGGATTTGTCAGCAGTTTAATGATCCATTTTATTTGCAAGGCTTTGGTCTCTGTCCCCGGGTCAATGAGGCCCAGGCCTCCGTTCCTAGGACTCCTTGTGACATAGTGCCAGGCTATCTTAGGGATGCATTTTTCTTTGTGGGGGTCGCCTGTCCACAGATAAAGCCTGGCTCTACGGTTCAACTCCTTCACCGAGCTGTCGGGAACTGTCCAGATAGAAGCTATGTACCATATCATTGAGAAAACAGATGTGTTAAGGACCAGCACTCGACCAAAGAGGGATGTAAACGTGTTTCCCCATCTCCCTATCTTGTTGATCTGTTTGGTCAACATTGAGGGTCCCATTTGAGCTGCCAACCCGTCTTTTGTCATCAAGATGCCTAAATAACGGGTAGGCGTGGCAGGCGTTTGCCATGTCATGGCCGCCTCTTCTCCCTGAAGAGAGAGGGGTTCGTCGTCGGAGAGCCACCATCCTATCGTTTTCACCCCAATTAATCCTCATTTGTGAAGCTAGTCTGAACGCCTCCATTGCTGTGGCTAGAGTTCTGAAGGAGGAGTCTGAAGCCCTGATCAGAACCGTCAGGTCATCGGCAAACATGATGGCTGTGGGAAAGTCCACCTGGTGGGCTGTACCCACTTCTGTGCTGGCCAGTCTTTGTATAGAGGGGTCTTGGCGTAGGAAGGAAGCGATTGCTTCCATTACGAAGAGAAAAATTGATGGGGCCAATGGGTCCCCTTGGCGGATTGACCGGGAGATCGGGTAGGATTCGGATAAAAACCCGTTTACCTGCACGCAACCTACCGCGTCCCGGTACAGTATCCTGACCCACTTCCTGAAGTTTGGCCCCACGCCCATTCTTTCCATGCTTTCCTCCATAAAATCCCAGTTGACTTGGTCATACGCTTTCTCAAAGTCGAAAAACAAGATGGCTGCGTTGATTTTCCTTTCCCTGATTTTCCTTACCGATTCATTAAGTGTCATTACGTTGTCAAGGATGTAGCGTCGAGGGATGAAACCTGTTTGGTCAATGTGGAAGCATTCGCTTGTGATTTTAGTGATCCGGTTGGACAAGGCCTTGGCCAAGATCTTGTAAAGGAGTGTCAGTAGTGACATAGGTCTATAGTTCCTTATGTCTTCTTTCTCCCCTTTTTTGTAGAGCAGCGTGACTATGCTGCTGCTGAGTAAGTTGCCCAGCCCTCCTCTAGACCAGCTGTCAGTGTAGAAGTTCTGCAAGTCAGTCCCCATGAGAGGCCAGAATTTTTCCCAGAATTCCTTAGTTAGTCCATCGATTCCGGGGGTTTTATTATTGTTCATTGTCAGGAGCGCCTGGTGTAGCTCCTCCGTCGAGAGAGGCTTGTCTAATTCCTCAGCTTGTTCCCTTGAAATCGTTGGCTCGAGATAGTGCAGCATTTTCCGCCTCGGTTCTCTCACCTGGACCGTCGGTAGTCCCGGTGTCATACATTGATAGAGTTCCTTGTAGAAGCTGTTGGCTATTTCTTGTATTCCTTCATTGTCTGATCTTACTACTTCTGGCTCAGCGGGGGATTTCAGCCCCTCTATTGCGCTGACTCTCGAGTTGGCTTTTATCCGCGCAAAGAAGTATTTCGTCATCGAATCGCTGAGTTCAAATTCACACATTCTTGCTCTTACTTGTAGTCCCTTCAATTCCCACCACCTCCACATGGCTAATTCTTCACGGGTTTTCTCGAAAACCCCGCTGTACAGTGGGGAGGCAGGGTTGTTGGTCAGATTAATCTCAGCCACTTTCAATGCGAACTCTAGTGCTTGTTTCCTTTGCTTCCTTATTGAGGCCAGTCTCCTTGAGACCTTGGCCACCGCTTCTGAGAGATTTGTGTAGCTCTTCTGGAACCATTCCCATCGTGATTCATTGTTTAGGCGTGAGAGTCTCTGACCCTCCCAACAGTTGCATACTTCACTTTGAAAGGTCTGACTTAATAGAAGGGAATTATTCAGCTTATGGAAGCTGGCCCCTCTCGTGACCATTTGGTTGAAGCCCAATACTAGTTCGATCGGCTTGTGATCTAGCCCCGGGTATGGTGCTAGAGGAAGGATCTCTGCCTCCTTGGTGTCTCCCATCAAGACTTTTGACACTAGAAAGAAATCTATCCGGGAGAAGGCGTATGATTGGCGTTATTTTTCTTGATCAAGGTGAAGGTTCTTAAGTCGGGGTGCATCGTCCTGAGGGGGTCTACCAAGTCCAGCATCAGTTCCTGGATTGGAACAGCTTCCATTGAGCTGCATAGACTGGTAGATCGGGATATACGGTCTATTGCCGGCTCAATTGTGGCGTTCCAGTCTCCCGCTATAATGCACGGGGTCAGTGGGGGGAACAGTTGACTTAATTGTCTTATAAACGTTGTGCGCTCCGTAGGAGAGTTTGGGGCGTAGATGTTGAGGAGTACGAATTCTTCCTCTTTCCACTTCATGTTAAATAAGCACCATCTCCCTTCCCTCTGGTCTGCCCTCTTGTCAATCACCGTGCCTGCTTGGTAGAAGCGGGAGGCCTTGGGGATCAGGATGGCTGTTCCCTTTGTGCTGGAATCTGGATCCGCCGCCCAAAATTCGTCTCCCAAGCCGCCTATTTTTTTTGCAATGAACCTACGTACTCTGTTGTGGTCAATTGACAGGGAGAGATGGGTTTCTTGGAACATCACTACTTCAGCAGTCCTTTTGCTGCCTTGTGACAGTCCGGCCCAAATATCATTCCATTTCTCTTCCTTTTCCATTATATTTCTGAGTCCGTTGACATTCCAGCTCCTAAGGACCAGACCTTGACTCCTCCAATCCACCTGTTTCCCTACCTCATTCACTCTATTCCTAAACCCCTCCATCGAAACCACAGGGCTGAGTCCGTTGTCTGTCTAGGCTTGTGGGTCATTTGCTTAGGTGGGCGGGGGAGAGGATGTGTCAGCCCCAAGGTTGTCTTCTCTCTCCTCTTGCCCTCCTTTGTCATCTTGTAACACGGCATCGGAGCTCCCCTTTGAGGTCGCCTTGTCCAGCTCCTCCCCTCCTCTCCCCTCAGTGTCCACCTGCCCCTTTCCCTTTTTTTCCGCTGTCCATCTTCTCCCACTCGTCATCGCCGTCCCTTGCATCACCTTCTGATCCTTCACTTCTGTAAAACCTCTCATCATCTAGTGCATATGCTCTCATGTCCAATTCTTCATCCCCATCTAGCTGCCCTGCCTCCACGATGCTGGCCACTGAAGTGGCCATCAACTCCGCAGACACTCCTGGGCCAGCCAGAATGCTGTAAGGAACTTCAGCCACCGTCCGCCATGGTCTCCATCTCATCCCTGAATGCARTTGCGTCTCTTYYGGCATTTTGGCAATCAAGGGTGAGAAGGCCCTCGGGGACTTCCTGCCAGCTAGCTCCTTGGTTTTGGGATCGCTCTCTGAGCCCTCTTGGGATTCGGTGTCCTCCATGTCTGATGCTAAAGCCACCGTCTCAAACAGACCCAGAGGGACATCGAAGGTGACATGGTTTCTTAAGGCCTTAACAATGTTTTCCACTTCCACAAAGTATGGAATTTGGAAGGCTACGTCGGTTGCCACTGACCATTCCTTCACTTTGGGGTCATACCTGGCTGCGATGAGCGGTCTGATGTTCCTCAATGTTCTGCGGGCTGCATTGGCTGCTTCCACAACCATGGGTGCTTTCCCCTTTGCAATCTGTGCAATCATTGTGTATTCTGGGGCGTATTCTCTGTTCCATTTTCTCAGTTTCTCTGTTTGGGACAGGACGACTGCAATTTCCTTTTCCAACAGATCCCGCTCTGGTTTATCTTCCTCCCCCCCTTGCTCTTCGTTGGATTCCCTTTTTTTCTGGTTCTTACTTGTCTTCCTCGTCTTGGGGCGTTGATCTTGGAAGATATCTTTGGTTGCGGGAATTGTTTTGTCTTTGTCTTCCGTTCCCTGTTCTCTTGCCCTCTTTTTTTCTGCATACCTGAAGGCTGCATACTCAGAGAACTCATCCGCCTTAAGTTTCAGGAGGGCTGCGAACTGATTGGGTGAATTACTGATTCCAGCAATTACGTTCTTCTTCCCATTCGCTTGGGATCGTTCCGCGTGTTTCAAACATGCGACCCGGACATCGAAAGCGTGTTCCCTCTCTCTTTTCGCTTTCTCCACATAATGTCTTATCCACGCGAGGGACTGTTCCTCCCGTTCATGCTCATCCTCCTCCGCGGGGCCGGACTCCGGCTTGGGATCTGCTTCGTCATCAGCCTGCTCCCCAGCCGCATCAAAGTCCATTTCCTCACCCTCGTTATTCGCTCCTGGTTTGTTGTTGTCCCGTTCCCCTGCTGGTCCCTCGGCCCTTCTTCTTTTCAGGCCCGATTCTTTCTCCCCGGCCTTGCCCCCTTCGTGGAATTGGCGTTTATTGACTGGTTGGGCTTTGGCCCTTCTTTTGTAGGTTTGTAATTCTGCTTGTTTCAGTGCCTCCTTTAAAGAATCTGGGTTCTTGTTGTATTCCTCTTCAACCTGCTCTCTAATTGTGTCCAGGTCCGTCAGTAAGTCTTCCCTTGCTTTCTCTTCCCTGATCACCCTGGAGTCGGTAATCGGCATAGTGTTGATCTTTGTCGGATTGCCTCTTACCTTTCCGGTGGCCTTCTTTTGCCACCTGCTGTCCGCCGGAGGGAAGATGTCTGGTTTCTTGGTGGTAGGAGTTAGGTCTGTAAAGTGCCAGACSCAATCCGGCTCGTCGAGGTTGTCGTCGAAGACCCAGCCGTCATAGGTTGGGTCTGCCACGAACCAGGTACCGGGGGCATCTTCCACTTCTAGCAGCATGTTGGGCGACAGTTTCCTATCCTTTGGTTGTTTCGGAAATTTCGGACAAGCGGGGTCAGTGCCCAGATGACCTCGCTCCCTGCAGCAAAAGCATATTGGGGATGTGCGTGTAGAGATTCTCACCTCAACCATTCTGCTTTCGATCTGCAGGTTCCATGTCTGTGGAAATACTGGGGGGTCGTCCGTTTGCACATCCAAGATCGCAGTCATCGATCCGCAATGTGGAGCCAAAAAATCTGGCGTGGGGAGGATCCACTTCAGAATTCTATTGGCCGGGTATTGTCGCTTGAGCCTGTCGACCAGCAGGCCGTGAAAGCCCGGCTGAATGTTATCGAACTGAACCCATAAATTTTCCTTCATCATGGTCTGTTTGTAGGAAATTGCAAAGGCCTGGGTCTGCCTTTGGGCTGACAATTTCTTCCATTTTGTGATTGTGCAGACCGAGCCATGGCAATTCCTGGATTGCATTTCCGTTGTTATCTTTGCATGTTCCTCATTGACGAACAGGACCATGATGTTATTACGTCCCAGGCTTTGTAAGGAGAACGTCTCCCCTATATGTTTGAGCCGCGGCTCCTTTCTGATCGTGTCGATAACCCACTTTCCCTTTTCCGCGGGCTGGAGATCACAAGGAACGGGTGAAGTTGAAAACCACTCCATGTTTTTCATGCAGATCATCCAATTGTGCAACTTTCTCCTCCGGGTACTTCCAGACTACTACTTCTTCCTGCTTTCCATTGACCAACTGTGTTTCCGTTGTCTCGATCCCTTGTACTTTCGTTCGTTCAATTAGGAATTTGAGGGCCTCATTGTCAATGATATTGGGTTGCTTGTCAAGGACCTCGTTTTCGGCTGTTGCCGTTGCCATCTTTGAGGTGTTCGTTGAAGGAAAGACAACAGATTAAAAGATTCTCGAGTGCTGTTGAGTTGTACTTGTTGTAAGGCCTCAATGTTTAATGGCTAGTTACTACTAGGAGGAGTGCGATTGACCCTTTGCCTCCGATCGTGAGATCTTACGAACACTTATTTGAGAGCGAACATGCGTAATCGACACTAATCAAAACGAGTTTATATGACCAATGGTGAGTTAATTGAGGAAGAAGAAGGATTAGCTGGATAGCTTCTGCGGGATGGGGTCCGGACCAAGAAGATCTACTGAGAGGAGATGGCGAGGTGGTTCGTAATGGAGAAGAGGGCGTAGAGGGCCGGTAGGGGGGCTCAGGTGGTCGGGATAGGATTGGGGCGAGAAGGGAGTGGTCTCAGTTCGGGGTTGGAGGGAGATTGAAATGAGGATCGGATGGTCGGGTGGGATCAGATTGGGATTGGGAGAGGGGTGAGGATGGTGTTGTGGTCAGTTGAGGTGGGGGGCGGTTCACGTTGAGATAAGGGTCGGATCGAAAATGGGAGAAGAAGGAAAAGGGGTGAGGTTGGGAATGAAAAGGGGGTGAGAAGAAGACGATGTAGACGTGAAATGGATGAATCGGGATCGGGGTGGTAGCGAATCGGGAGGTGGGGGACAGATCGGGGATGAGCGTTGGGAGAGGGAGGTGTCAAAGAGGAGTCGGGGGTGGGGGCGGTGTGGAGTCGGGATGGGGTTGGGTTGGTATCGGGGTGGGATCGGGTCGAAGTCGGGTAGAGTTGGGACGGGGACAGGGTCGGGATGGGTTCGGATTGGGATCGGGATGGGGTTGGGAGTGGGATGGGGTTGGGATGGAATGAGCTGGAATGCAAGGCGGTAGTGTTGACGGGGATGAGAGTTGGGAGAGAGTGGTTTCGAAGATGAGTCGGGGGTGTGAACGGTGTGGAGTCGGGATGGGGTTGGGTTGGTATCGGAGTGGGGTCGGGTTGAAGTCGGGTAGAGATTGGGATGGGGTCGGGGTGGGTTCGGATTTGGATCGGGATGGGGTCGGGAATGGGATAGGGTCGGGATGGGGTGCGCAGGGATCGCGAAGCGGTTGCGTAGGGGTCGGGATAGGACTGGGATATGGTCGGGTGTCGTTCAGAGAGGGGTCTGGGGGAGAATGAGGTGGCGACGGGGTAGATGCACTTCAGAGTGGAATGGGATAGGGATCGAGGACGGTTAGGAGAAATGGAAGAACCGATGAAAGAACCGAGCTGCGTTATCTACGGAGCCGATTGGAGGGGTCGGGTTGGGAGTAGGCACGGGTTGGAATGAGATCGGGTTGGGATCGGGGTGGGGTCTGGGTTGAATCCGGTTGAGGTCGGGAGGGAAATGGGAATGAGATGGGATTGAAATGGGATCGGGATGGGGTAGAGTTAGGGTCGGATTGCGATCGGGGTGGGATCGCGGCGAGCGCGAGGGGGGGCTGAGGAGGTTACGTTTCGGAAGTAAGATGGGGTGAGGTTGAGAAAGGATTGGGAGGGGAGTGGAATGGAGCCGCGATTGTAATTGAAAAGGGGAATGTTGGAGTCAATATCGAAAAATGGAAGAACAACGGATTGAAATCGAGATTGTCGTCGAGGTTGGGATCGGGGGGAAGGAAGATTGAAAAGGGGGGTTGGGATTAAGACTGAGAGTGAAATTGAAGAAGAGGTTGAGATTGAGGTTGAAAAAGAAGAGAAAGAATGATTCAGAGACGGGGGTAATCGGGATCAATCCGGGGGGCAGATTGAGTTGAGGTGGGGTTGAGCAGGAACGAGATTGAAAGGCAGTCGAAGCCGGCGGTAAGCGGGGACGGAGTTGGGAACAATGTTGGGATCAGGCGTGAAGTCGAAACAGATCGGGTTTGGGGGGCGCCACGTTTTGGGGTTGAGGGGGAGAAACAAACTATCAGCGGTTCTCCCATACCAACGTAGCTACCCGGCAATGCCACTGGCATGACAACCGGTCCACCATAGGTTGACCCATCCCAGTCCTCTCGTACTAGGGATGGCTTCTCTCAGTTCTCTTCAAATCACCAACGGTAGATAGGAACCGAACTGCCTCACGACGTTCTAATTGTTATGTTGGCCACTAGCCCGCTCGAGCCTGTTGTTGCTCAGTATACACCACTTATTTGTTCATTGACTAAGTTTAGAACGAATTCATAAATCATTTCAACCAAAGATTGCCAAGCATTGGGTACTAAATGACCTCCATTCATGGTGACAAAATGAAATAAAAGCAAAACTAAACTAATAGTGAGTAGCATAAACAAAGATGAATTAGTAAAAGAAAGATACAAGTTTCCTATATGAAAAGGAATCAATGGAATAATAGCAAATTGTTCTAGTGGACTAAAAGCCATTATGAATTCTCTTTTTTTTTTTACGGAGCTTTTGATGATCGATCTCTCAAAGCCAAAGCAATCTAATATACTCGGAAAAAAGCAAAGGCCGTAGGCGACGGTGGCGAAAGGGATGGTCTCAGGGTTGGGTCGGACTGAAAGTCGGAAGAGAGTTGGGTGCGAGTCAGGCTGAGTCGAGGAGGATTACAAAGTGAGGGGGGTTGAGGTAAGGTTGGGATCGGGTGAAGAATTGAGTGGGATGAAGTTGGGGGGGAGAATTAATACGAATAATAGGGATCAAAGTGACAACGGAAGGAGGCTGGAAAGGGATAGAAAAGAGAAGCGATCGGAGGGTGAGTGGACAGGAGTCAGTCAGAGGGGGATGAAGAGTTGAAAGAAGGGATGGATAAGGGTTAGACGAGGACGGGGGTCGGATGTGGGAATTAGCAAGTTGCTCTCACTGTCGATGTTGGTCTTCTTGGAGCTCTGGGATTCGGTGACGACTGTACTTGATTGCTTCAGGCTGTTCGACGTTGTCCCACTTTTGCGATGGCAAGGGCGCGTGCGCGCCTCTTAAAGTCCGGGCGATGCCCTCCTAGCGGCTTCCCTCCTGCTTCATTCTATTCGGTGGCCATGGCGGAGCGCGCGCGCGCGGGGCGCAGTAGATTCTTTCTAAGTTTGCAAATTTGCACATTACGCGAGTAGTGCAGCCAAGCCCTGAGAATCACGTGCAGACTCTGCAGACCAACACTGCCTAGCTACGTGAGCAACCCATAACTGCTGAAACACAGACCTGAACTTCAATCCTGAGGATATATTGGGCCAGCTCGTGCTCTACTTCATACTCACTACCGGCCTCGATTTCGATGGAGGGTCTGCAGTTTAGTGCTGCGAGGACCCTCCAGATTGCCTGCATGGGCCGTTTGAGCCGTGCTAACGGGATCTGCCCTCTCCCTCTCTGTTGCATACCGTATAGGTGCAGACCAGAACAAGAACCGACCTTTCAATACAAAGTATAAGATAGCACAGCGGAAGACTTAGATACCAATGATCCGAACAATCAATATTGCAATGCAGCCCCAAACATACATCATCATCATCATTCCATGGTGTGAAGGGGTCTGGCGCTTCACACAGGAAGACTGCGCCAGCCCCAACCATACACAGACGAAGG